ATATATATATATATATATATATATATATATATATATATATATTATTTACATACGGATTATAGCAGTGGCGGATCTAGGATTTTATCATGGGGAGAGGTGATATAAAATATTTTCGTACATAATATGTTTAGGTATTATAAACTTTATTCTACTAAATTTACGAAATAAAATTTAATTTTATTGATGATTGTGACATTACTCTATGGATGTATCCTGGGTCATGATATAAGTACGAGGTGTTTATCCGTAATATGATATGAAGTTAGATACTAATGTATACTAGTGTATCCTTCTTAGTTACGAAATAATGAAAACGAAATAATAAAAAAATAGTTTTTATTAAATCGTGCATGCAAAAATTGAATTGGTTGCAAAAAAAATTTTTTAACTCTCGGCCCACGGGGGGGAGGGATCTATCACCCATATCCACCCCAGTAGATCCGCCACTGGATTATAGGTATAAATGTATAATAATCAGCAGCAGCTCATAGTAAATATTCTGAGGAGACTTAAATTATTTAACATAAACTCCATACAACAACGAACAAGAAAAACCCTATTATTGAAAAATTAATTATACATAATACTTAATTTAATATTCAATTAATATTTTTAACTTAATTCAATTCTGCATTTTATTTTATCTGCGAATTCACAGATTGCGGTGTACTACGACCAACGACGGCGCGATGGCACAGAAATTAATGTCGTGAATCCGGTTTCAATATCGTCTATAATACGCGGATTATTCTTCCCGGCCCCTCCGTCCAAATAGCCAATTACGTCCAAAACCATTACATATTACGATTAAACCTGTCGGACGTCAATTTCAAAGAAACGGCGACCGTCATCGAAATTACTAAAATAGTGTTTCCATCGAAATAACTATTTATAGGTTTTATATTTTGTGGCCTTAAATTTATAATAATAAATAAGAAAACGTTATAACATATTTTCAATAAAAATATTTCTATACATTTTTAAATATTTATTATTTACAAGTAGCTGTTTTTTTTTTAAGGTGCTGGTCATTTATTAAGGAGTAAAATTTAGGCAATTAAATTCACATGTTGTATCGACGGCGCGCCTACCGTGCATGAATGTGAGTGTGTGTATCGATATTAATGTGCATGAGCTATAATAAGATAAAATTAGATAATTACACTCGCTGCGCGTTATCGGATGTGTATCTATTTGTATATTATACGTCTTATTAGTCCATGCGTTATCGTTTCATAGAATTACTGTTATGAATTGTTTTTATTATTTTTATTATTATTATAATAAACTGGAGATCACAATAATTGACGAAGTCTCTTGCTTTCTACGATCGACTCTTATTTACAATTAAATATTACGTACTATATGACGAATTTTGTGTGTGTTTTTTTTATTTTGTCGTAAATAATACAAGATATGGAAAAATAAAAAAAAAATAAAAATATTCATATAAAAAAAAAAAGAATGTAACAACTTATCGAAAGAAAAACGGTCGGAAACATATGAAGTAAGTACTATATGTATAATAAACAGAACACGGGTACTAATATACTATACAGTGGTTAATGAATCATATTGTAAACAAATTAATACATTAATTATACGTAATAATGTTCATGAAATATTAATTATTTCTTTTATTTACCTATGTTTAGTTTTAGTTTAAAAAATAAAACAGAAAATGTTTCTAAAACACAATTAAGTTCTAAAAAATTAGGTACACCATCAACGAGTAGCCATTCTACAGACAAAACGTGTCTTATGGTCTTAACTAATTGTAAGTTATATATGTATATATACGGTATATCCACTAGTTTGCAGTTTTTCAAACAGTTTTTTTTTCTTTTTAGATTTAATGTTGAGGGTCGTCGTATAGTTGACATGGGTTATGTGTTATGTGGAAACACAATTGGTCGAATTTCTTAATTGTCATTTACTAAAAGAAATTGTAAATCCTTCAATTTTAAAATAAATGGCAATTTTTTAAACTATTATTATTGTAATTATTAGTCGTGAATTATTATCTTGTACTAGTTTATATTATCTATAGATAAATGTTTACGATAATAATATAATAATATATACAAATATATAATGGACAGCTGTTATAATTTGTAATTGATAAACGGGTACTATTTTCTTTTTTATTATAATAAAGTGTAAATAATTAAATTATAGGAATTTGTTTTACGTATTTATTACTTCAGGTAAAACAAAATAATATAGGGAATAACAATTGAACAAAATAAATTGGTGTTCTAGAGCGCGGGCTGACTAACATATATAATATGGTGCGCGAGTGACGACTGACGGTACCGGGGTGTGATACGGTTGTACGGAAAAATACAACGGCCGCCGAAGCTTGTTTTTATTTCGAATATAATATACAACGTGCCGTATCGTCAATAGCAAATTATTTTTAATCTTATCGGGAACTGCGATACGCAATTTATACACGAGCGCTTCCCCGGAGTAAGGCATTTGGCTGGCTTATCATAAAAGAACTTCAAATTGTAAAATGTAAATGTAAAATGTAAAATGTAGGAGCTAGATCTCTTTTGATTTAAAAGGTATATATTAATATACTATTAGGTATATTATAATGTATAGTTTTATAAATTCTTTACATTTGATGAATTTAAATTATATTATGTCCTAATGTATATGATAGGTAGGCAGGCACGTAGCTAAATGAGGGCCAGGGTGTGCTTGGCTCACCCTAATATGTGTCCGGCCTTAGGCCGGCCCACCTAAAGTATTGAGAGGGCTCATTATTAAATGATTGCTTTTAATTTTTACCAAATTTTTAATGTTGCATAAATATGACGCAAATAAAACCAAAAACATCGGGTTTTAATTATAATCTAAGTAATGTAACTTGTAACTAAATTTAAACGATCGATTAGGAAATAATTGCTATTTATAGCTAAATACCGGTACTATACTACAATGTCAAGTTGTTCTTATCATATCTAGACTGTGACTATTGTATACTTGTATGTCTATTTTTAAAATACTTTGAGCGAGGGTATTGTCATTATATTGATTCATATAGAAATATAGAATTATATTATGGTCTCCGATTGGGCGCTTACATTCACATTCAGCGCACGCCGCACTTATGCTAACGTCACCTGCGTTAATATTTGTACAATTTATAGTATTTATACATTTTATCTTATATATTTAATATTTAAATTAATTTTAAAATGGCACCTCTTAGTGGATGTACCAAAAGAAAACTAAAATTACAAAGAGAATAGCAAAATGATAAAATATGGTATTATTAGGTTATATACTATATTAAGAGTTAAGACCTTTAATTCCATTCTTGTAAAAAAATAACTACATTTTTCTAGTAATTAATATGTAATAAAATAATTATATTTAATAACTCCAGTCTTCATTACAACTATTCATTTGCTCTACTACCTACCTACCATATACATTAGGACATAATTTAATTTATATTCATCAAGTGTAAAGAATTTATAAAACTATGATAACGTTATTTTATGATAAGCCAGTCAAATGCCTTACTGTGGGGAAGCGCTCGTATTTATATTGGTTGTTTGCGGTGACAAACCCGCAGATAAGAATATTTACGCACAAGTCAGTGATCGACTTTGGTCGCTATTTTTCGAAGCACTGTTTAGATGAACAAAAATGCGTTTACGGGAAAATCTCTCACGCCACAGTTATTTGTCGTATTTTGATAGATTTTTTTTTTCTGAAAAATGAGAACATTTTGCAGGTCGGATCAAAGCCCGAATTTTCATTTTACTTTGAACGGTGCTAGAAAATTACATTTGAAAAAAAGCAAATATTGTGCATTATTGGAATGCATATTTGAGATTCTTTAATTATAATTTTAAAAATTGTGTTTAGATTCGACCTGCAAAATGTTTTCTTCTTTTGAATAAAAAAAAAAAAAAATTAACAAAATTTGACAATTCTATAAGACGTGAGAGTTTTTCCTGTAAGACATGTTTTTGTATATTAAAACCGCACTGGGTCCGACCCCCTTAAGGAGAGTCAAAGTCTCAAAGTCTCCCTGACAATAATGTTTATATATTAATAATATTAATAGTTATTATAATTATAATTATATCGGTCGTGCGCGACCGAGACATAGAGTATGATAATATATTATGTGTGGTTAAAACGGAGAAATATTTTATTATCAAACCATGAGTTCGAAAATTTGTAGATAGGTGATATTGGATCAGCGATATACTAAATTTAAAAAAACCAAATTCCAAGGGAAGGGATCCACCTATCCCCCCTTATCACCACCACTGGTATTATGATTACATACAGAATTAAAATTACAGAAAATAGATACTAATATAACTAACAATGTATTATACATAAAAAAAATTTTCACGGAGCTCGTAGTTCAATTTTGCCATATTTACCTGAAACGAGAAATTTAGATAAAAATTATGTTTTAAACTTACGAAAATGATCAATTTTATTACATAACGATTTATAAAGTGGAATTGTTTAGTTTTCTACTAAAACTAATTTTGAATTTCTCGATACTTTATATATAGATGAAATATTTCAATATTATACCAAATATTTAAATCAATTATTTACTATTCATGGATTAATAAATAATTATTACATAACCTTTATTATTATTATTTTTTTTTTTTTAAAGATAATGGACAAAAATATATTAGTGAATTTAATGCATTAAATACATTATGCTTAAAAATATATATTAATTTTAAACCAAATATAATTAATATTAACTTTGAAGAAGCCATATACAATTCTATAACATGTATATGGTCAAATATTTCTATAAAAAGATGCCGATTTCATTTTGGCAAAGCTTGGTGGCTTAAAATTCAATCACTTGGATTAGATTTGCAATACTCTAAAGAGGATTCGATTAGACAACAAGTAACGCATATATTTGGCCTATCATTTTTGAACCTAGAGGAAGTCGGATATGTTTTTAATGGAACTAGCAACCATTCAGCCTTTAGATAATAAAACAACCCGATTTTCAGACTATTCAATATATATATATATCAGAGGATCCAATTTTTCCTCCTTATTTTTAAATAGAAAAATGTTCAAACATTTAGCGCACAACCAATGCATGCGAATTTTTCTGCAGCAAATTTAATAGCTATTGAATTATGAGTCTCCGCATTCTAATATATATATATATATATAAATTTATCGAAGTCTTAAAACTAATTCAGACCGAGACTGTTATTTTAATACAAAGCTCTAATAAGTCCAAACTACATGCTTGATTAAAAACTAAAAAAAAGTGGAATTAAAAAAAAATACCAAATTTAGAGTATCTACAAATATTAGCTAAAAAATATAAGCATAAGTAATGTTATAAGTTATTTTTTTACTATTATATTACCATATTTTAATTTTATTGACTTATTATTATAAAATAACCAAATTTTTTCTTATGTTTTTAATATAATTGTGTATTTATTATTTGAATAGTTAATTATTATTATATTAATTTAGTTATTTTGTTATTATTATTATTCTAAGTAACTATAATTGTATAGCACAAATTTTTCTCAGTGAGTTCCAATAATATTTCGATATTAATTTAAATAAAAAAATTAAATAAATATGTTTTATTATTATTAAGTTTATGAACCATAACTTAATTGTACACGACAGGTAACTAGTATGTACCTATTTACGAGTATATTACTCATCTATTTTCTTATTATATTTACATTGTTTACCGAATTCCGTCAAATGGCATTGTTTATAGTGAGTCGATTGTTGGTAGCGAACCATTATATTATTATAATACTTCAATTTTTATTATATTATTATATTATTATAATAATTCAATAATAAAATTTAAAATTTGTTATAAATTTGTTAAAATGTTCGTAGAAAAAAAATGTCTAT